TACCACCTGGCCGAAGTATTCAGGTGATCCAGGATGTTCTGGCAAGCAATGTGGATTTTGTTAACGATCTCAGATAAGAGATCTGGAACAGGAAATTCTTCGGCTTTGATGTACCCTCTGGGGCGAGAAGCCTCAAATGATTAGAGCGCGAATTTACTAACCGGAAGGTCCGTGGTTCGAACCCGACCTCTGCCTCTCGACTTCCCCTGTCTAGGCTTGGGCAACCTGGCAGTATCCCAGCCTTCGTGCTTCCTTCGGGTGGCATGGCAGCTAGGCACCGGCAGGGTGTTAGAGCTGAGCTGTATACACCGGAACATCCATCTCTCAATCACTTGAAATTGTATACCATCTATTCAAAAGTTGCATACTTTTAGACACCCGCGCTAAATTATAATCTACGGAATTACTATAGGGAATGGAACAAGCGATTATGACTACCTATCCACTGCGATTTGCGAACGGAAAATAGAGTAGCTATGGACTATCAGATCGCACCAACCGCTACAAACGTTTTTTGGATACCTAGAGAAACAGGTAATAGTTCACTTCTCACACCCATTTTGGCGTGATAGTGGTGAGACTTGTGGTCTTGCAAAGGGAATTTTCAAATGAATTGCCACGTTCTTTGAACTTCTTTTGTAAAAGTGTAAGCCTTACGAAACGTTTTCACAGTTTCTGGACTGCCCGTTTTCACAGTTTCTGGACAGCCATTTTAAAGCCAACGACTAAAGTTTTTACACGACTGTTGACGGTAAACAGACGCATCCTGGACGATATCTAGATTACATTTCATGTCATCCTTTGAACCTGAGGCAAGGAATCCTCCAAAGCCACTAAGATTGATGATTTTGGGGATACCCCACGGCGGAATTTGAACCCAGTATGTTTCATTGAGAGCGTACTCGATCAGTAAGACGGAGCCAAAAAAGTAAACCGTCCTATAGCAAAATTCGTGTTTTCTTTTCAATATTTGAGATATGCATGACGTTCCAAATCGACAATACCATCAGGCGACCTTTGGGAAACCGTAAAGAATTCATCAACCCCGGAGATCAAACTGATTGCGTACACAAGATCCGTTGTGGGGATTACGATACTGTCTACATAGGAGAGATGAGCAAGCAACTGGAAACTGTAATTTCCGCTCACAATTCCAAAATCTGGGGAAAGACTCAGCTTTGAGGAAAAACGACACCGACTGAGCGGGCCGAACAGAGCATACGGTAGTGTGCGGATGCTTTGGCAATTCACACCCAACATTCCCGTAACGATCAAAACGACGGTCAGTCCATACCCACTGTATGGTCAAGGCTTGTAAACATCAACCACCAATCTGACCGATCGATTTCATCCTCACTATAGAACCGTCTAACCTTGACCCATTGAACAGCCTGAAAGCTTCTCTTATACGGGTATAACGGTATGTACTACTGACCAAGCGAACAAGTAGTCCATAGTCTGATGTCCAAGCTCCGCCCGCATCTAATGGAAAGTGGAACCACTTTGCAGTGTTCTTTTACTTTTGTTTAATATTCATTGAACATCCAGGAAAGTTCGAGAGTACTTGAGAATATTCACTTTTTGAAAACTGTGCAGAATGAGATGAGAGATGGTAGTCGACCTCTGTTTCTTTGAACGTCTGTACTGCTGACGGAGGTGGAATGAAGTTTGGTTCTGAACACCTGTTTTTAACGTTTTGTTTTTCCACGATCGATCAACCCAATTAAACGGGCTGATAATGAGGAGAGTCAGATGACCGTCGATGTCCAATTGGTGTGTAATGTCTCTATTTACTGAACATCGAAAGATGTCCTGGCAGACTAACCATCGTNGAGGAAAACATTAGTTGCAGCCGACATCGCCAGAAGTTGAGTAATGCTCTTGGAAGGTAGTCGGGACTCAACTCCATCGTCAGGTACTGTGTGTACGCTGCGTTTCTGCGCGTGTGGAAATCCTTCCAGGTGGACGAGCCTTCTACGTTGGATTTTTCTAATCAATCAGTTGTTGATGAGTGCACGTCTACGAGCAGATAGCCAATGCAACTGCGGTATTAGAGATTGCCCTGCCACAACCACCTGTTTTAGGGGTTGGTGGTCGCGGGATTTTGTACAATGTCTACTCACGTGACTCTCGTTCTAACAACTGTTCTGCTGTCCTGGCGCAATCATTCTGTTGAGTTCACGCGGGGCAAACACTGGGATCGAGTTTCGCTCTTATTAGAACTCATCAGCATTGCATACCCTTCGCCGTACCGGGGATTCGAACTTCGCACATCCGACATGCGAGGCGAGCGTGTTACCACTACCCCACCAGGGCACGCCGGACTCATCCGGATTTTTTTTACGTCTGAACACGTGAACATGTTCGCGTTTGAGTGATGTGATTGGTCAAACGAGAATCATGTGCGTGTGTATTCGACATAGTTTCTACTTCCCGTGCATCGTTGTGGTGTAGGATATGATGGCAGCTGAAAATTCTCATATCGACCGTCCGTCAGTTGTTGATCATTCCGAACTTGACACCGTCTGCAGAGAATTCGTCGATGGAACCCCAAAATCAATCCTTGGGTGACAGACATCCGGAAGTTTGCTCAAATCAGATCATTTTGCGTGGCAATCCTTGGTTCAACTGTCCAGTCACGATATTGACTGGAGAGTGTTTTTTGCTCTTTCTATGTTTATTGATGAACCAAAGGGCACGCACTCACCAAGCCATCGCTGGTTGATTGATCCATTTTTTGTTGCACCCGATGAATGCTTGCACGGTAGTTCACCAAAACCAACCCCCTGTAACTTGATTTCCAGTTTCCACGTAACACAAAGCGGCTCATATCACGCTACAACAAATCGACTGGTTGATTTAAAGTAAAAACCGGTTAATCTAAAGCATACTACTGGATTACAAAAACCTGGTAGTTAGACAGGTATTTTATTTTGCTACGCTTCAATTCAACTCGTCTGAAAAATCATCCTGTCATTGACAAATCACTTCTTCTGATGAAAAAATGAACTCACGACAGCTATTTTCACCTCAAGCCATCCTGTGTTAGCAAGGAGATGAAGGCGAAAGGTAGTTGGTTGGGAAGAAACCGTGTTTATCACCGAAACTTGGCAAACAGTGAACCGTAGTTCGCCTAACTCGCAATTTAAAACTGTACTAAAGAAAGCCATAGCAGAGCGTTAAGATAGAGCGGGAACATGAGGGAGAATGTCATTCACAATGTCAGTTCACCGGGTGCAAAATATCGTTGTGGTGCCCCAATACCTCCTGCAGATGAACGCTCACAAACAGAAATTACGGGGGTACAGTGTTAATTTTGACATTTATTGATCTAATCTGATCTGGAGCGAGATAACTTAGTAGTTAAAGCATGAATTCACTGATCGGAAGGTCCGTGGTTC